GAGTATGAAAATACATACTCATTCTGACAGGTGATAGCTCTTAGCATCAATTCACATCCACAAGTCCATGCTGAGAAAAAAAATAGTTTAATACATAAGGCAGCAAGAGAAAGGACAGGTCTTTGTTACTAATTGTGGCCAACGTAGATGAAAAGATGAGAACAAAACATTTCTGTTTGACAAATGCCTCGGTGATGAAGGCTGCTGACAAAAACCACCATGGGACACAAAAATTCATGGGCAAAGGGACGTGAAAGGGGGTATCTTCTGGTTAAGAAACCTCTCCTCAGGATGCCTAGTGATTACAAACCGGTCACTGGGACACGGCATCATATCATTGCCAGAAGTAACCACCTCATTCTGGGTTTTCTTTGTGTGCTTGTGACTATGTAGGGTGTGTGCACCTGTGCCTGTGTGTGTGCATGTATGCGTGCATGTGTGTGTGTGCATGTGTGTGTGTGTGTGTTTTACGAATTCCTGTGTGGGTGTATGCAGAGCATAGAAGTGAATGGCAGTGTCTTCCTCTATTCTCTCTACTACATATCTTCCTGACAGGTCCTCTTGCTTAAGCTGAAGTGCACCAGATTGCCTAGCCTGTCCTGCACATGCCTGGTTTTTCACACAGAACCTGGAGTTTGAACTCAGCTCCTTATGCCTGTGCAGTAAGTGCTTTCTCCACCGAGCTGACTCCCCAGCTCCACTTCTTGGATTTTTTTGTCCAAAAATGTAACCTGAAACTAATTATGAGGAACATCAGACCTACCAACCCAAGGGACACTCCAAAAATACTTGCCAGTACTCATTAAAAACATGAAAGCTAAACACAAGAGCCATCACATGCTTGAGAGGACAAGGATACACGAGGACTCCATCTCCCTGGGGACCTGAACCAAGGAGGGCCATTGTGAGTCTCCATTAATGAGAATCTGAGACTTAGTTACTAACAGGGCTTCAGAGGTTGTTTTCTGGTTTGACTCTATGTCACTACCAAGTAAGACACCATTTGGGGAAGTGATGTAACTCTGCCTTAGTTTTATAATCTTTTAAAAGTCAAATTAATTAGAAATAAATAGTTTATGACTGGATATAGTTATCTCATGTCCATAATCAAGAGACAGAGGCAGGAGGATTGCACATTTTTGGCCAATTTGCACTACATATCAAGACTTGTCTTAACAAATCAAGGGCTGAGGTTGTAGTTCAGTGGCCCACAGAGTGCTTACTTAGCAGGTAGAAGGCCTTAAAAACGAATGCTCTTGCGCTTCTGGGGTGGGAAGCATTTCATTTTGGGTAGTAATATACAGAGTGGAACCATTTAATATGAATTTCTGCCATGGAAATAAGAGCACAGCATGCGATCTTGTTTTTTCTTAGTTCCCAAATTATGTGATTCTTGTATTTCCAACAGTTGAACAATGATGTTACAAAATGTCTCCTTCTCCCTTTAGCAAACAATTAATCTGACACCAAATAATTCTTCCTATTATCAGAGTTTCTTATCCATAGCCACTTTGTGTATGTATGTTGAGAGAGTTAGTTGTATATGTGTGTGTGCCCATTCATGGATGCATAGGGGCCAGGGATTGATCTTGGGTGTCTCCTATTATTCTTCAATTTGGTTTATTTTAAAACAGATTTTTGTTACAGACTCTCTTACTGAATCTGGAGCTCCCTGTTTTGACCACACTGACTGGTCAGTGAGACTGTTTATTAGCCTGTCTCTGGCCTTCATTGGAGGGGATGCAGGTGTGTGCCGCTACACCCCACTTTTGTGTGGGTGCTGGGGACCCAGGCCCATGCTTGTACAGGAAGCACTTTACTCTCTGTGGAGAGCTGTCTCCCCTATAGTTATTTAAAATATTTTTTATTTACAATATTTATTTATGTGTGTCTGTGTGAGGATACGCCACACGTGTGCAAGTATCTATGGAGATCAAAAGACGATGCTGGGTCCTCTGGAGCTGGAGTTCCATGAGGCATTGAACTCAGGTCCCCCAGAAGAGATGTCAATAAAGAAGCGAACACACTTCTTCCCCAGCGTTGTGGTTTGTGTGTGAAGTGTTCTCGATTGCCTCTCTCCATTAGAGACCATTGAACACTTTGTCTCTAATCTGTTTGGGAAGGTAGAACCTAAAGGAAGTGGGTCACTAGGGGCGGGTCTTGACCGTTTATAGCCTAGCTCCACTTCCTGTTCATGCTCTGCTTCCTGGGTGTGGATGCAATGTGACCAGCTAGCTTCCTGCTTCTGCTGCCATGCCTTCCCCGCCATGGTAGGCTGAAACTGCAAGCCAAAAGAAAAGAAGTCTTTTCTCCCCTAAGTTGCTTTTATTGGGTTAGATAGTTTATCAAAGCAACAACAACAGCAATAAAGTCACTAAGACATTCAATTTGGGCTTAAAAATCTTTTTTTTTTTCAAAATTCCAAGTATGAGTGCCAAATATTGATTTGGTGGCTGCTGGAAAGAATGTGTGCCTTGTGTTAATCTTCACTGAGTGCATTTCATAAAGTCAAATTGGATTTAAAAGAGTTATCTACAATATTTTGAATTGGCTTAGATCTGATCATATGACCACTAGTGGAAAAGGCTCTTCTTGAGTAATAACACATGGTTGCATTGTTTGGGAACAGAAATACTATTATCAAAACCAAGCGCAGGGGTGAGGAGCACTGGGAAAGAACCACAGAGAGGAAGAGCCTGCCCCCTACAGCCCATCACGGACTAAAATGCTGTGGCTCTTCTGTCCCAAGTTACGATTTAGAGTGGCTATTGATTGACAGCTAAGTAGAAAATCATTATTAAGAGCCAGGCATGGTGGTGCACACTTGTATCCTCAGCAGTCAGAAGGTAGAACTGGCAGGTTGCTGTGAGTTTGAGGACATTCAGTGCTATATAGTGAGATATTGCCTCAAACAAACAAACAAAAACCAGTATATGCATATCTTAAATAATTTTTTGTTAAAACATTTGCATAGAATTTTCATGTAGGGTAAAAGTTTTTAAATATAAGTATCTTAATCTGCGTCTGGTGGTACATACCTGTAGTTCCAGTACTTGGGAAGTAGAGGCAGGAGGTTCAGGAATTCAGGTCATGTTCACCTACATAGCGAGCTTGAGGCCAGTCAGGGTAGCATACAACCTTGTCTCAAAATAAATAAATAAATGAATGAATGTATGTTGTTCATCATGTGTCTAGGATTGTAGTTGAAACATCTTTTTACAAACTAGTCCCATAATTCCTATGGCCTATGATTTCTAACTTCAGTTTCCTTAAACGAAACCAATGACTCAAGAGCAAACAGAAATGTTAGTACAGAATTTTAAAGTTTATATATTTGGTTTTGCTCCTCACCCCTCCCATTTTCTTAGTGCTGATAAACCATACCCAGGGTCTTGCATACGCTAGGTGCTTGCCAACCTCCAACAACTAAATCTGCAACTCCATCTAGTACTCCCCCAGTCTCATCACACTTTTGTAGAGTATTAACCTTAGTTTTCTATAAAACCACAACCCTCTCTCTTTTAATACTGTTTCCTCAGTTTATTCAACACCCAGTTCATTTTTATAGTTACAATGACAAGTACAACAGGTAGGAACCAATCTGGGAGTGTACAAGGCTACTTTCATAGACCTAGAACGTGCTAGAAGGGCGGGGTTGCCCTGGTCTTGTTGGCTGGAGAGCTGCCTGCCAGCTGCTCCCACGGGTGGGTGTGTACCCGTACACTGTGTGTAGACACACCTCTGTGGTTGCGAGTGTGCTCCTGTCATGTGACTTTTCCTAGAGATGTGGACAGACAAGGCCCTGAAGAGTCCAAAGAGATTCTGCCCGAGGTTGGGTTGGTGAGCTGGCGAGTTTACTGAGGTTACTCATGGGAGCATGAACAACTCAAAGACAGCCTCCACATAAGCGATGGTGACAGCTCATCAGGGCTGTGTGACTTGAAGGCAGCTCTGCCAACCAGAGAGTCTCTGCTTTTCGGCCTCTACTACTACTTTGTTGAGAGGTCTTTGTACACTTTGGAACTTCTGGACCTTATCGGTTGGTTTCCTTCCCGAGTCTTGTGGGTTCCTGTCATCCCTCTGGGAAGAGTTTTCCAGTTCAGGGGAAAAGACTGTACAACTCCACACTTGTGAGCATATTTCAAAAGGAAAGAAGAAACATGCATCCATCTAGAGCAGGAAGAAGAGGCAGACACCAGTCTAGAAACTGTTGGAAGGACTTCTCAAGGAGCCACCATAATTTCAGATGTACTCCCAAATGGCCACAGAGCCCATGAAGGGATTGAAGCTAGCTCATGTCATCGGGAGTCTCGCTGAGTGAGGACAAGGCATTCCTCTAGTGCAGGGCTTGAGAGGGAGACAGGGTCTGGATTCTGACTTCGCTCATTCCTCTGTGAGATTGTCACCTGACTATTTTGCATGACCCACAGGGGCAACTCTAGCCTCTGGACAGGGATGAATTACACTGGAGGGAAGGAAGAGGAAGCTGTCTCTATTGAGACTTGAAAAGATGGAGCTGAGAAGCAGGAAGGAAGCAAGAGTTGACTTGTTGTCTCAGAGGAACTTCCTGTTTCCAGATGTTCATGTGTCCAGAGTTCTTGAAAACAGATGCAGACTGCCTTGCCCATCCAGGCGTCAGATTGTCCATTAGCAAAGAGGCCAATGTAGTCCCTGTTTTGTTTCACTCGCTGCTCCTGGGCTGTGTTTTCTCACCAATTAAACCTTCATTCAGAGCTCTCTGTTCTGACACTGGCTCTTGCCTCTTTCAAAAATGCCCCTACCTACTGGATGATACTTTTACAGATGTCAGAACCTTTTGTCATTAACTTGTTATGAGAGCAGTGCGGTGTGTGTGTGTGTGTGTGTGTGTGTGTGTGTGTGTGTGTGCATTCTTGTACACAAGAGTTAATGAATTAACACACACTCATGATGAACAAGAGAAGAACAGGCCCCAGAAAGTGAAAGGGGAAGGACCCAAGGCGGAAGGAAGGCTCTGGAACGCCAGCATGACCTTCTGCTTTGCCATCTTTATCATCAGCTATGAATGGGAAAGAGAGTTTGATTTTCAGGTTGGCTTTTTAATTTACTGTTTCTTTGATTGTACGTTTTCTTTGCTTTGTGGAATCATCAAGTTATCTTTGATTTCTTTGATGCCATTACAATTTGCAGTGAGCCTTGAAGGGTTTTTAGAAACATAAACAAATGGTAACATGAACTGCTAATTACGAAGGAGTTCATTAATTGAGCTGTAACTGTCACACAGAAAGACAAGGATCTATCTTTCTTTATTCCTCTCCTTCTTAGTTCTTTGCCCAGCCTGGCCTGGAATTTACTATATAACCCAGGCTAACCTTGGACTCAAGGCAATCCTCCTGTCTTAGCTTCTTTTGGGACTTTTCCTTCCATTGGTGTCTGTACCTTGAAGCAGTCCTAAGGCACATGCACTCTAATGGAGTTCACTGCTTTCATGTATGTGGCCACTGGTGTTAGCCAGCTGTCTGCCACTGGGATTGAACAGCTGATAAAATCAGTTTATAGGGAGGACAGATTGATTCTGGCTCACACTGCCTAGGGTTCCAGTCCGTGGACACATAGCCCTGTTGCCTGTGGTGAGGGAGAACCTCATAGTGGGAAAACACGGAAAAGGAGATCATTCACCTTCTGATGGCCCAGAAGCAAAAACAGAGGGAATGCGGGAGGGGTCAGGATTCCAGCATCCCCTTCGAGAGCCCACCTGAATACTAACCTCTTCCTTATAAACCTCGTCTCCTAACCAGGCTATTACTTCCCTATATCACCATGGGCTGATGGCCAAGCTTGCTTCTGGGCCTTTGGGGTCATTTAAAATCCAAGACTGTGCAGGTTTTAACTGCCTCGAGCCACTTCCTTGAATGTGTTCACTGGGTTCTCACAGCTCTAAAAGTGAATGGCAGCTACCAAACACTGGCTCCATTCAAAACAAATAGACTATGCTTTGTTCTGCTCAATATCTTTCTAGATTCTTTTCCAATGCCAAAACTAAGGCCAGTCATCTTCCTCTTTCTCTTTAGCTCAGCATTAAACTGTTTGGAGACCACCTAGTGGCTTGCTCAGTGTCCCCATGGGTTTACTGGTGTCCAGTAAATGAGGATCTGGGCACTAAAGCAAAATGTGTTAAAAACCGCAGATGGGGCTGGCAGGTTGACCAGCCCTTGCTGCCAAGCCTGGCCACCTGAGTTTAGTTCCCAGAACCCACTTGGTGGGAGGAGAAAACCAAGTCCTACAAGCTGTCCTCTGATGTCCACGTCGGCATGGTGACATGCACACCTGCTTCCTTCCCTTCTCTGACTCAAGTAAGGAAATAACTGTGAAAAAGAGATGGAAGGCCCCGCCTCATCCTTCTGACTAAAGAGGTCTGGGGAGGGACTCAGAGTTTGCATTGTCAATCAATTCCCCGGTGATTCTGAGAGTTGGAGTCTGAGGACAACACTGTGGGAATCAGTCCAGGTCTGTTGAGGAAATGAAGGCTTACAGAACCAAAGTATTTGTTCCAAAGTAACCCAGCCAAGTGCCAAGACAAGCACCCCATCTTCTGACCTTCACGTGCTGACTGCACACCTGTCCTATTGTTTTTCCTAATGCTTGCCACTGTCTACAGGATGTTCTGTGTTCTTTTGGCGCTGTGCGGAGTCTCAAATATTATTCTGCTCTTTCCTCTGAGTATCAAGACTTACTCAGTAACTCGGGGCAGAGTCTCACTGTTATGCTGGACTTCCATGCCTGAGATCTTCTCAGGGAAAAAGAACCTTGGCCACAGTCTGCTTGTTTTTCATTTCTAGAAAAGTTCTGGTTTAGGCTGTATGCAGATCCATGTTCAAGACATCCCTCTGTTTACGTTTGGGTTGGGTAGAAAGGATGATAAAATTTTCCTTTTACTCTCTTAACTAGGATTTCTATTGCTGTGATAAACACCACGACGAAAAGCAATATGGGGAGGAAAAGGTTTATTTGGCTTATATTTTCATATCATAATTCATCAGGAAATGAGGACAAGAACCCCGGCAGGGCAGGACCCTGATGCCGAGGCCATGGAAGGGTGTTGCCTATTGTCTTGCTCCTCATGGCTTGTTCAGCCTGCTTTCTTAGAGAATCCAGGACCACTAGCCCAGAGTCATCCCCACCCACGATGAGCTGGACCCTTATTTTATTTACTTATTAGTAAAATACACTACAGACTTGCCTGTCAATAGCCCAGTCTTTTGGAGGCATGTTCCTTAAATGCAATTCCTTCCCTCAAACGACTCTAGCTTGTGTCAAGTAGACATAAAATTAGTCAGGACACTCTCTTAGGGTTTCTCTTAGAACTCTGAAAATTAAACTGACAAACATCAGTACAACAAGAGAGAATATAATTTAATTATGTACTTACAAGGATTTTTGGTAAAAAAAAAATAGATTCAAAGAGGCAGAGGTCAGATTATTAAGAATGATTAAGAATTGTATGTTGCCTTGGTCTATTTTCTTCTTTGTCATGTAGCTAGGGATGACCTTGAACTCAAGATATTCCTGCTTCCACTTCCCGAGTGCTGGGCTTACAGGCATATGACATCATACCCACCTCTTGGTCCATCTTCATTGATATAACAGATAGTCATTGTTACTTTATAAAGTAATGTGGTTCATTTGTCTTGTGACTCTGGTCCCTAAAGTGCTCAAACATCATGGTGTTGACCCCTTGATAGGGTCTCCTCGCTGTACCACAACATGGCAGAGAGGCAAAGGGGGTGATCAAGTGTAGGGGTCAGCTATGAGGTGACATGTTCTATTGATCACTAGCAAGTTCTTAATTAGTTTTAGCACAAATGAATGCATAAACAAAGGGCACATGTTTTAGGATAACATATTCTAGAACCTTTCACTACTACCTGACACCCCTTTCCTTAGAAGTTTTCTCTCTCTTCTAAAAAGAGTTAAGTTGGAGCTGGGATGGCAGTCCCAGAAACCTGGAATGTAGAGTCAGGAGTTCAAGGTCATCCTCAGCTATGTATTGATGAGCTACACAGGACCTTATCTTAAGACGAAACAAACAGCAACAAAACCAGTCAGCAAGATGACTCATTAGGTAAAGCGTTTGCTGCCAAGATTGATGGCCTGAGTTGGATCCTTGGACCCACTTGGTGGAAGCAGAGAACCAATGACTGAAAGCTGTCCTTTGACCTCCGCATGGGACTCTGTGCCATTCATGTATCCACTCACATGTACACAGGCATACAAATAAATGAAGGGATGTGATGGTAGTTAAAACTAGCAAACAAAAAGATTTGCAAAGAGAAAGGGAGAAAGCTTGAGGTTAATTGTTCTATGATACAAGATCTTCAAAGGGGCAAAAACAAAGTCCAGAATAAAGATAAGTAGGTAGAAAAGGTCAAATGTGAATACCTTGCTCTTCTTATTGAACCAGTCCCTGGCAGCTGGACACCTAAACAACAGTGTCTCATTCAGCAGATGGTTTTGCAGTGGGCACAGGGCACCCACCTATGCTGGGTGCTTCATGGTGCTATCAGTCAAGACATGAAGGACCTTTCTATGGTCACACACACACACACACACACTGTTAGTGGTTAGAACAAATTATAAATCCAGTTTTTGAATCCACAAGGCATGAGTCAGATGACTTCTAGACATTGGAACAAAGGATCTTCAGAAGGAGGACCCAGGACAGGGTGTGGCAAGCCAACAGATTTCCTGGTTTGTAGTTCAAGCATCTCTGGCAATGGTGGATAGTGTCACCTTCATGGTTATTTCTCGGGCAGAGTACAGAAGGGTCCAGTTTCTTCTTGCCAGGGTTTTTTTTTTTTCCTGTAATACAGAGCTAGGCAATCAGCTTTGTTTTCAGACATGCCAAATCAGGAAGATGAGAGAAAATTTGCAAATACCAATTACTGAAGAAAGAGAAAGAAAGAGAGAAAAAAAGAAAACGTCAGGATTCAATCTACAAGGAGTTTTTTTTTCCCTCAAACAAATGTGTCTAGATTTTGAAAATTCACAAGTATGGTATTGTTTTACATAGTAACTGTACTGACTGGTTTTACATCAACCTCACACAAGTTAGAGTCAATTTGGATGAGAGAACCTCATTTGAGAGAATGCTACCACTAGATTGACCAGTGGGATGTTGACTGTGGTCATTTTCTTGTTTGAGGATTGAAGTAGGAGAAGTCCAGCACATTGTCGGCAGTGCCACCCCTAGGCTGGTGGTCCTAGAATCTATAAGAAAGCAGACTGAGCAAGCATGATGAGTAAGTCAGTAAGTAGCACTCCCCCATGGTCTCAGCTTCAGTTTCTGCCTTGACTTTCTTTGGTGATAGAGTATGACCTGAAAGTTGTAAGGTGAAACAAACCCTTTCCTCTACAAGTGGATTTTGGTAAATGGTGTTTTAGCACAGCAGTAGGAACCATAACTAAAACAGAAATACAGAATAAGACAGAGATAGAAACGCCATTTCTGTCAGAGATACTGAAAACCTGTATTTGCTTGGCTTGATTATTGACACATAAATACAAAAATAGTAACTGACAAATTGGTGAGTTTAGTTTTTCTGTTTTTAATGTTACAAAGCTGTGTCTTGCTATGTCACTCTGGCTGACCTGGAACTCAGGGCAATCCACCCACCTCAGACTTCCAAGCGCTGCTATTATAAGGGTGAAACATCATTTAAGTTCTTTTTAAAATTCTTGGGACTTTAAAAACATTTGTGTGTGTGTGTGTGTGAGAGAAGAGAGAGAGAGATAACTTGCATGTACCTGTGTATATGTGACTGCACATGCCATAACATACATATAAAGGTCAAAGATAAACTTTAGAAGACAAATCAGTGTAGACAAACTTTGACGTCAGGACCACAAGCTCACAGATAATGACATGGAGACTTATTATTAACTATGAAAGCTTGGCCATAGTGTAGGCTTGTTCCTGACTACTCTTACAACTTAAATTAACCCATTATCTTTTAATTTGTGTTCTTCACGTGGCTCAGGTACCTTTACTCTATAACGCCCATCATGATTCCTCACTATCTGGCTGGTGACT